TGAGAAACTATTTGTTCTGTAAACCTTCACCTGAAGTACAATTAAAAAAAACAAAACAAAACAAAACAGGCCTACCACAACTGAATACCTTTAGTGGTTCGTCTTCCCAACAATTATGTCAGGCTCTGTCTTCCAACTTCAGTGATCAGAAATAATTACCAAAGACAATTTTAATACCATTTTTACCAGTTGTAAGATATAATAAATAGCTATTACTCACTGAATGCTTATTTTGTAAGTATGCTAAGTTTCACCTAATAACTCTAAGAGCTAAGTATTTCACAGAAGAGGAAACTAAGGCTCTGAAAGTTTAGACATTGCCCAAGATTATTCAGCGACTAAACAGCTAAATTAGGATTCTAACCCAGATCTGATTCCAAAACCCTGTATGTCTGCAACACAAACCACTTTATAATTCCAAAAGCCACCTTCAAAGTGGCAACCTTGGGAGACTCACTGTACACTGATTATAACACTGTCACAGCTTCGATTTACCAGATAAAGCATATATTTTCCCAGGATAACTACTTTGAAGGATAGTGATCTAAGTATATCAGTTCTAGTGTTTGAGTTGTTCTGTTTTTTAAATCAACCTAGCCTTTCTCCATCCTAAACAGACCCATCTCTTCACAAGAGAATTTTAAAGCTAAACTTGTCTTCCTCTAAATTACTGTTCATCAATATTCAACTTTATACCAACGTATCATATTGCTTTTTTTGATCCATAAGAGTTATATACAGTTCAAATAGACGTGTCAATGTTCAACTTAAACCATGACACACAAGCAAAATTGACTGAAAAACAACAGAAGATTAACCAGTCCCCGAATCAAAATATTTCTTTTCTTTGATAAGTGATCAACCAGAGACATCAAACCCACTTAAGTCTATGACAGACCTAACACATATGACATACACAAGAGAGGAGAAGGAAAACAATCTCTCTGCCTCCACCAAAAAGGAACACTTAGGCATGTCATTTTGTTCTTTTGGGCCTCAGTTTCTTCAACTGTAATATTAGAGGGCTGAAACAGGTTTCTCCTAGTAGATTTAGGATGGACGTTTTGGGTTGTTTTCTTTGGTGCTATACCCCTGGCACTTGCAGGTACCAAAAAATAGATCTGAAATACATCAATTTCTCCAGAATACCCATCTAGGTAACTTTCTAGGTAACCCTTCATATATTTGAGAATAACACTTTGAGAAAACCTTTAAGTCCAAGCACAGTTTCTATGGGTCTAGGGGCTCACCTCTGCGCTGTCTGAGGGAATGGTAAACAGTTACTCCATAAGGTCTCAGGGTGGACTGGTAGTATACTTGTGGGTTGGTTTCTGTGAACTTATTCGCCTTCATTACAGCCATCTTTGTCCAATCAGTAAAGAACAACTGCTCTTCAAACACGCTTATTCCATAGGGATGAGGAATGAGCAAGCCTCCATGAACTACTGTCCTCCTGTTACAAAATATATGCATATATTATATGATTTTTTTCTTGTTTTGCTTTATTTTGATTAAAGTGGAGTCAGTCCAATAAAATGCCTGAAAAACTTACTGTCTTATTACTAACATAGAATATACAGAAAACATACATTAAAGATACATGTGTATTGGCATCAACATTTGATAGGATTTTCATGTTCTCTTATATATATACACACACACATATAAAAGGGCAAAGATGTGTAACATCATTTTGAATTCCATAGATGAAAGAGAAGAACCAGGGCTTGGGAATCTGGTGCCTTCAAAAATTATTTCCCACTCAATCACTGACCATTTCTCAGCAATTAGGGAGTAGGACAGTGAGTGTTCAACCCACAATATGAAAGCTGAGAAACACACTAAAGTTGGGGGGGAGAGGCGGGGACAAAGGGCCTAAGGTGGCACATTTAGTGCACACCCAATAATAACATGGTACATGAGCAAATTCCAGAACCCTGAATGCCACCTGCTGGCAGAGTAACATGCAGTGACGATGATTTTAGTTCTATTCACAAGCTTTAATATCCCTTTAATGTCTCCTCACAGCCAGCAAACCAGTTAAATCTTTAACCTCGGCATAAAAATATTTAGACTATATAAAGTAACGTCAAAACACCCCTGTGAAAAAGAAAATTAGGCAATTTTGTCAATTGTTTTTATACAATATATTGGGTTTACTAATTTTTTTTTTTCCATTAAATTACTTCATGTTCTCACTGTGGGGACCAGTTTCAGTGATAGGAAGTCATAGACTTCATATCCAACCATTTCATTTAACCAAGCAGAGATTGGTCTAAGACTATAAAATGCAGTGGCAAACTGAGATAGCATCCTGACAAAATATTCCTTTCATTGAGAAAACAATAAAATCAAGTCATTTGGAAAAACTAAACTGACCAACCTACTTGCTGAATTCACTAAGAGTAATTTTTACTGGCCAAAATTTGAGGACATGTCTTAACCATTTTTTATTTTTTTAGACATTAAAAGGAGAGTTAGCTATAATCAGAGTAAAGAAAAAATTAAACCATATTCTACCTTCAAATATTGCTGTAAAAATACAAGAAGTCATAAATTCTCTTTGAATCTGAAATATATTAAAACGAACAACCCAACCCACTGCCATCGAGTCAATGCTGACTCATAGCAACCCTATAGGACAGAGAAGAACTGCCCCATAGCGTTTCCAAGGAGTTCCTGATAGATTTGAACTGCCAATGTTTTGGTTAGCAGCCGTAGCTCTTAATCACTACACCACCAGGGTTTCCTGAAATATATTAGGGCAGAGTAAAATCCAATTAATTCCCACTGGATAATGTTAATGAATAATAAAGCTTAAAGATAAAATGATCCTTTATCCCAAGAATAAGGGAACCCAGAAGAATAAATGGACTCAGGAGTTAATAAAAATTATATGCTCCACCTGGGATTGGGAGAAGAGGTAAAGAACAAATGCTTTAGGTAATATTCAATGTGTGTTATTATGGAATACAAGAAAAGCTAACAAATCTCAGAGCTGGTCACTTCTTGGAAAAGATCATTCAAGTTGTAATGTCAACCAAAAAGTTAATATTTTAATTCTGGTCCTTCTAAAGCCAAAAAACTTCTTACCTTTGAAGTCCATCATAAGTTACAGTCTCAATGTAATCAAACCGGGAGTCAACCCAGTAAACACGCTTTGATACTATATCCAGAGTTATCCCAGCAGGCCATCCCAGCTTTGATTTTACCAAATTTTTACGGGCACTGCCATCCATGAAAGCCCTTTCCACTGTAGGCTCCCCGGAAAGATTCTCCCAATCTGAGAAAAATAAATAACTACAAAAGAAAAACAAAAGATGAAAGGGGTCTGTTATTTTACAAGTTTACCAGGAAAATATTTGTTTTAGACTATGTGTTTCAATTAACGGAAACTTCCTCCAGCTGACTACAGAACCACAGAGTATAAAACAACAGAGCTAAAAATTCTTATTCCCCTTCTTAACATTCTCACCTCTTACTTGGCTCTGTCTTTAAGTATGTTTCCTCAGAAGTGGAGATTAGGAAAATTTAAAATTGAGGAAAAGTAATTATTATCAGTCTTGCTGGATGGAGTCACTCTAAACAACTTGTAATAAGATATTAGCATTGACATTCAATCCCACTAGGTAATGAGAAAGTGCCCCTTTTCCCTTTTTAAAAAACTTTACAGCCAATTGATGTTAGAGTAATCATCTTAACAATGGTGAAACATAAATAACCCCAAAAAGATTCAGTATTTTAAGGACACCAGCAGGTAGAATTATATTTCATCAACTCCTTTACAGCTACTATGAATAGAGATTAAAATGAACCTACAATTAATCCAATGGATGTTCAATGTATAGAGGGAGAGATAAAACTCCAAAAATAGAGGGATAGTATGTATTCACATCACTTACCCAATAGTTGGGTCTACAGCGATTCCTCTAGGATGCCCCAAGTTTTCAGTGATAAGGGTAACCCGATCACTTCCATCCAAATTTACCAAATCTATGCGGTTGACCTTGGTCTCCACCACATAAAGTTTATTATTAATCCAGTCCACAGCCAAATTCTCTGCTGCGTCAACAGAAACATTGAGAACTTCTTGGATATCTAAACTATTAATGTCAACTGAAAAAACCTGAAAGAAAAATCAAAATTATTTTAATTCTTAAGCATAACTAACTGCGGACACTGTTTTCTTACACTTCATTCAATGTAACATTATACGCTTCCCCTTCTTAGTAGTTGGTATTAAGACATAAAAGCACAATTCTACCGAAGCCAAACTGAAATAACTTTAAACCTAATAACAAAAAGGACACAATGTGTAGAGTTTAACATGCAGTATCTCATTTAGCCCTCTAAACAACCGAATGTAATTAGTACTTAATATTACTAACATCCTCAGATTCCAGTGCATTATCTCATTTAAGCCACTGAACAACCCTATGTAATTAGTACTTAATATTAATAATATCCTCAGATTACAGATGAGGAAACTGAGTCTTAGTCAAACAGCCAAGGAGGTGATGGAGCCAGAATTTGAACATGAGTTTCTGTGACTCCAAGGTCTGGCGTCTGGCCTCCTAATCACTAGCCCCAAGACACGCACCCATTTTGCTTAAATCATTTCTCAGGACCTAAAAATCCATACAGCCTTGCTAGAGTCCATGTGTATCATAAGATGAAAAAAGAATTCATAATATATTATTATCTTCAACCAACAAATCCTCAGCCAACACATGCTGTACAGCTAACCAAGGTGAGGAAGGCATTTGAGGTATCACCATTTTTGCCTTCTGTAGGTCAAGTAAGAGCAACTGGTGAAAAAAAATCTGGTTCTATACAGCCACAGGCTTCTCAACAAGAAAGTTGGCTGTTGCAAGCTTTAAGATGGCTAAAATTTTAGTCTAGGCTCAAGAAACTCTCCTGGCCCAAAAACAGACCTAAGAAAGCCACTGTTACAAGAGCCAGACAAAAAGAACCACCACCACCTTCCCAACCTCTTATCCCTCCCTGCCGCAGGAAGGACCACAGGCCACAGGAATGTGGTGGTTCTTAAAAATTTGAGCCAATACCAGGAGAGCATGCAGAAAAATCCACATTTCTAGTTTTCCTTCAACATGTAAAAGATCTGGCAGTACTGGGCCTTCAATAATACTTGGCAACAGTGCTGGAATGTGCAGAAATGGGCCCTTCAGACAGGGCATAGCTCTCCAGTTCCCCATAATACCACCCCTCCTAGCTAGTGCTGAGTGTGAACACCCAGTCCATTTACATGACATACCTAGAGACCACAGACTTTTAGGATTGCCACCTACAGCCTAGAGGGGAAAAAAAGATAACCTAAACTCTAGGCTGGTGCAAGTGCTGGCCCTAGGAATAATGAGAATAATTCTTCTTTTAAATATTGAACTACTTACATATTTATGACATAGTCTCTCAAGTTTTGTACACCAATGCTGTGCTTTTAACAATATTAATAAATATATTATTCATGTCTAAATGAGGAAACTAATTTCTAAATTCAAGTTAAGGCAGGTGGCCTTTACTTGCAAGACCCTATACCATCTACATCTCTGAGATAAAACAAATAATACCATGAAAAGCACTAACTTGACAATTTCACTAACTTGATAATTTGACATCAAGAAGGGCAGCTAAATGATCTACCATTGGTTTCTGTAAAAAATTTAATTTAAGCCTGTGGTTTTTTTGGTGGAGGAGGTGATTAGCTGTATTCAAATCATAATTGTTAATAATCCAAATTCAAAATCTATGCTTTTCATTTAAATAAATTAAAATTTATTAATGAAACAAGGAAATTAAGAGTCTCTACAATTTATGTGTCAATATTCTCCACTGCATTACTCAAAGTTGAAACTAAATCCCTCACACTTTCCAAATAAGACAGTGTAACAAAATTTTGGCTGTTAAACAAAATACTGTCAATATTTGTTATCCAATCCTCAATTACAGTTCCATTTAGAAGATGCAAGTAAAATCTGATTTTTATCATCCAGGAGAGCAGAGTACTTTTTACATTTTAAATGATCAAGTTTCAAAAATTACTACCAAATATCTATCCAGTTTTGAAAGAATGTCTACTATTTCTTTTAATTAGGCTTTTGGACTCCATTTCGAATAAAATTAAAAGTTGCTCAAAGCTTATCCATATAATAGACTGCATTGTATAATAGGGCACATGTAATTGTATAGCATGGAAAAGGTGCTGATTAACATAAAATATCTCAAGGGCCTTTTTTGTTAGAAAACAAAGGAACTTTCCTCTCTACTCCCCCCAAAAGGAAAAGCCATCAACACTTTGTGCTCAGGGTTCTATAAGCTCCTAAGATAGGCTCCTGAAATTTCTATTTACCTTATCTTGCATGACGTCTGTCCAAAAGACCCTGTGCAGGTCATAGTGAAAATCCACACCCACAGCCACTCCCCGGTGCTGAGACTCTACGAGGATCTGGAAGCTCCTTCCATGAATGTCACCAATTAGCAAATCCCGACCATTGGAGAAGATAACAGAGGCCTCGCCAGCTAAACATGAAGATGGAAGGCATTACTACTCCCTTAGGTAAGCAAGGATGGTGAAGTAACTTACAATTGATGTGATTTATGCTTTTCCAAATGCTTTCTTCAGTGTTACCTTACTCGATGTTTAAAATAAACCTCTGAGGTAAACACTATACCCATTTTATAGATGGACAAATCGCAGTACAAATCACAGTTAGGAAAAGTGTCCTGACTCTAGCAATGCACCTTCAGTGACACTGAGGAAAATACATCGGGTGTTTGCAAGAGTTATTGATCGTAGGGGCACCTTATGTCCATGTGCAATATTAAATTGTGTTAAACAGAGAACACATTTTAAGGATTACCAAGAGATCACTCTGCAAAAAACATGGCAAATCCAAATCTGCTCTACCTATATACTCACAGGCATGCAAAATAACCTGTGTATAAAGTTATTCTTTGCAGTCTTGTTTGCAGTAGCAAAAGATAAGAAATGACATAAAAGTCCATCAGTAGGGGACTAGTTAAATGTACAGCCATAAAATGGAACATCATGTCACTATAAAAAAAAAAATGAAGAGTTTTCTGTACTACTATGTAATACGGAAAGCTCTTAAAAATATATTGACATTAGCAAGATGTTATCACCATATGTATAAAAATAGGGTTAAATATCTCTATTTGTACATTCTTGTATATACGTAATTGTTAAAAATCACACAGAAAATCAGGTATTTCTATCCCAAAACTACTAAAAAATGGGCCATATATCAATTCAAATTCAGTATGTCCATTCTGAACCACATCTTCATAAGTTTTACATAAATTTACAAATTTATTGGTAATAATAATTACCAAAATTATTTCTATAGATATTTGTCACCTACATTTGTGATACCAAAAAACAAACCCACTGCCATCAAGTCGATTCTAACCACAGCGACTTTATAGGAACAGAGTAGAACTGCCCAATAGGGTTTCCAAGGCTGTAAATCTTTACAGAAGCAGATTACCACATCTTTCTCCCACGGAGCAGCTGGTAGGTTTGAACCTCCAACCTTTCTGTTAGCAGCCCAGCGCTTTAAACACTGCGCCACCAGGGCTCCTTACATTTGTCACAGGTAAGTTAATTTAAAATTAAATAACCATTCCATGATTAAGTGTGGTGGGTGACATAATAGCACAGGCCCAAAGTGAACCAAAACCAATAAATATATATTTAAAAAGGTCATCATTAATCTACAAAGAGATCCCTAATCATCAAAGCATCAAATTAATGTTGATCCATTCTTCCTGGCAGCAATTGGGTGCCGGGGGCCACTTGTGATCTGTGATGAAAAAACCCTGCCATCAGCATTAATGTGTATTTCTTTTGTCGTTTGCTATGGAAGGAGAATTATTAGTCAAAAGTTTACTGTTCAGATATACAAGTGTCCAGAATTTACTCACAGGAAGTGCTAGCTTTGCAGTGCCGTTGATGCTCCAAGACATACCCTTCTGCACAGTGGCACTGGTGATGGCCAATGCGGTCTTCACACATCTGGGCACAAATCCCCCATATCTGGCAATCATCAAAATCTGCCACATGAAAAATAAACCTTTGTAATCATATTTGCCAGCTTTTCTTGTGTACCCTTTGACAAAAATCCTGGAATAGTTTTTTAAATCTATAAGAAGGATAACTTTGTACAACACTATCTGGATTCATAGTCTTATTGTATTGCATTTTATTTATTAACGGTGGTTTATAAATATCTGAATTTTGGTGTAAGTGCTTCCTGTCAAAAGAGTGTTTTCTAATATGGTAGCCACCAGCCCCCTGTGGTAATTTAATTAATTAAAATGAAACCAAATTAATAATTCTGCTTCTCAGTCACATCTGCCACATTTCAAGCACTCAATATCCACATATGATTAGTGGTTACCATAGTGGAAAGCGCAGATACAGAACATTTCCATTATTGCAGAAAGTTTTATTGCACAGTTACCTTTACTGAGGTTACAAAATCATAACCAAAATTAAAATTTTCAAGACATGAAAAATGTCCTCATCTACTAATTTATTTATTATCCAATGTCCATCATATTACAGAGCTCTGTTCACTGCCATACAAGTCCCAGTTATGTCCCTCTAGACCAAATATAATTGACATATAATCAATACAATATGGGGTGGAGAGAACAAGTCAGCATATAAAAAGGCTTGAGGGGTACAGAAACTGTCCTATCTTGGGAAGACTGGTGCCAAATATCTTTTGTTTGGCCCTCCAGGTTCACATCCACTCTCCATCCTCCTCCACCTTCCCTGGGAGGCTGACCTCTATAGCCTATACCAACAGGGTTCCCATGCCCTCTGGTTCAAGTTAATTTTAATTTCTGCAACCACCGCACTCTCCAGATTTCTAGGAGCCAATTATATTTGCAACAAATGTCAGAGTTGTGAACTGGAATCTCCCACACCTGCTAGGTGGCCCACCATCTGGTGACTTCCAACTAGAAAAGCCCAAGACCCTGGGAGCAAGCTAACGGGTCCAGTTATCCCTCTAGACCAAATATAACAACAACATGGGCCAGTTTATCTTTCTTTCCAAGGACTGTGACTAATCAAAGAAAAATATTTGGAGGTGACAAGGTAAAATGACATGTGTTATAGAAGGCCCTCATTGATCAATCTCTTCTGTGCCCTCTCAGCCCTGAGAAAGTTCCACCTGAGGCTTCGCCCCAGTAGTAATGAAAGTACAGGACATTCGTCCTCAAACTCCTAGAATGTCACGACCTCATTTTGAATGCAGGGCCCACGAGACTATGCTTAAGAGTCCAGAGTCACCCTGGCAGCAGGAGTTCTGATGTCAAGCAGAAGGAAACCCAAGGCAGAGAAATCCTTGGGCATTAATGCTCTTTCCATCACCTGGACTACGACTGCTTTAAAGAGACAAATGATTATATAAAATCTCTACCACTTTTAATGACTGATTAAGATTGTATCCTTTAGAGACTGGAGAAACCCCAAGAGTATGGCCCCCACACACCATTTTAGCTCAGTGGTGAAGTTATCTCCGAGGTTCACCATTCAGCCTGGGAGTGGACAGCCCCGTAAAACCAAATGAAACTAACGAGGTACAGTAGTCCAGGGACAAGGGCAAGAAGGCTGATGGGGACAAGGAAGCTGGTGATAGGGAACCCAAGGCTGAGTAAGGATATTGTTGATGTGTTGTGAGATTGTTAACCATTGCCATAGGGCAACATTTGTAGTAACTGTTAAATAAGAAACTATTTTGGTCTGTAAGCCTTCATCTTAAGTGAGAACAGCAGCACAATTGGAAGAGCATAGTCAATGTCACTGAACTGTGCGTGTAGAAATTTTTGAAATGGTGTAACCTTGGCTATGTGTATTATCACCAAAAAAAAAAGATTGAGAAGTTAGAGGGTTGACATGCTGTGGGGTTGTTAACCAATGGCATAAAACAATATGTGTACTACTGTTTCATGAGAAACTATTTGTTCTGTAAGCCTTCACCTGAAGTACAAAAAAAAAATAAAAATAAAAAATAATTTAAAAAAAAGATTGTATCCTTTAAACCACTGTGGAGAAAAGTAAATTAATACCCATCATCAATTACAGTGAAGACAAGAAAAATGAAAGTAGAATTGAGTGTCTTCATGAGAGTAGAGAAGATAGTGGAATCGCATAAAACACTGAAACACGGCTTTACAAACCGTCCCCCTCCCCAGTACCTTCCCTTTTTATTCTTTGTCCCCTCCTACCAGCAATTACTGCTTTGGAAATAATTCAAAAAAGCCTTTTTTTAAAAAAAAGAAACAACCCTTTTTAGCTTAGACCCCTTTGGACACTCTGATCCATCTGGCTGTGTGAAATCCCACCATGCTGAATGACCTTCCTGCCCTCGCTCTACACCACGATGTCATTCTGTCAACAAACAGCATGTCCTGTCAATCAGAAACAATGAACCTGGGAAACTGCTTCAGCAAGCTGCAGAGCTTCCACTGCCAAGTCAAGACTATCAGAGGCAGATGAATGGTAGAAAGACACAAGATTTCATGTTAGGATTACTTAACTTTATTCTTGATCACCACTTAGGCATTCACTGGGGAGCCATGTCTCAGCTGATAAACATTGCAGAGGTTTCCAACACCTGAAGCCTCTGTAATGAGTCAGCCATGCAGAGGAGGACACAGAGTATTTGTTAACTTGAAATGCCTGAGAAAGCAAACCAAAACAGCAATTCTCCGAAAAGCTCAGCTGAAACAAGTGTAACTAGTTTCATGTCATGTATTTAAACTAAAGAGTTCTCTTTACAAGGAGAGTGTAATAGTCTTCTTTGAAATAAATGCGGAATAAATGTTACACTTGGCTTCAAAATTCAGGGGCAAATGAAGGATAGGGAAGCTCACAGAAAAGTTTTCTGCAGGTGGCAGGGGGCCTCATATTCACAAAGACCCTCAAATGTAGACTTTTGAGTTTATCTCCAAATGAGGTTGTCTGTACTGAAATCCCAGGTATATTATTGAAAGGATTGAAAAAAGATCTTCGTTATGGAACTTAGACTAGTGCACCATTCTCAGCCCACACTACCCCCAGTGTGATAAGAACTGACATTTTTATAAATCCTGAAATTATCTTGTGCATAGCATAATACTGTAATTTTCCATATTACACTGATTAATAGCTTAAATATAACATTTTATAACACAATAACTTCATAATGACGGGTTGCAAAAAATTGAAGTGACCCAGAACACTGACATTTAAGAAGCTGAGTCAGAATCGACTCGACAGCAAGGAGTTTGGTTTTTGTTTTTTTGTTTTTTGTTTTTTAATACATGGAAAAATAACCCAAGGCTCATCACAGATCTAGATATTGGAAAAGATGTTGGAAAATGTACTGTCTGGGCTTTAGGGTGGAAAAAAAGATTGAGAACAGATTGTGGGGCAGCACAAGACTGAACTAGGAAATCTGAAAAAGCAAATCACTTTTACTGAAAATATTTCATGGCCTATCAAGTTCCAACTGCAAGGCAGCTCAGTTCCAACTCCTCTTCGGGGGTTGGGAGAGAAAAAAAAGAGAAAAGCTGATGTAATACTGAGACTGTGTCTTCTGGTATTTCTATTGGAATTCCTTTTCTACTAAGAGAAAAGGGAAATGCCTAGAGAACTAAAAGACTGGAAATGGGATTGGCAGCTGGGTGGCAGTAAAGGGGGGTGGAGGGCTCTGACATTTAGCAAAGACAAAGGAGCAGCTTCACGCCCACAGATGAGCACCACTCAGAGAGAAAAGGGATGCTGTCCTCACAGGGATGCCAGGACACACAGGCAGGAGCGCCAAAGTTGAAAAGCCCCTTAACAAATGAGGATGTTCTTCTGAAAGTGTTTTAAATTACTTGAAAGCATCCCAAATGTAATATAATTATATAATAATAACACAAAAAGTATCCTGCAGTTTTTTTAATGCCAGTTGCAGATCACAATGTTTACAAAATGTTTGGAAATTATTATTAATTAGAGAAGGGGTGTTTCTTAAATATTTCAGCATTTTCTCTGAGTCTCCAGGATCTCTGGGTCTGACTTGTATAAGTCATTCGATCTTAACATGTCTGGGCAAACATGGGGACATAGTCCTGGTATTAAAAACCTAAAACTACCTACTTTGAACACCATAAGGACAACCTCAAGTGGACTGCTTTACTGAGTATAAAAATCCAGTTTTTCTTGGCATATGACATGTAAATGAACCCCAATATTACAGATCTCTCAAAAGTTCCAAGTTTAACTTGCAAACAAGAGTTTATTTCTGGTGCTAAAATTTTTGGGGGGGCTATGTGTAATTATTAAGATCAACCGTGAGCTGACACTAAAGACTGACTATACTCATTACGTTTACCCAAATTCAATTTTAGAAATTATTTTAGAAGAGATACTTCTGCAAAAGTATTTCTTATGCATGCCTTGTTTGTTTTTATCCAGAAAGCTCTGAAGAATCTAAGGATTACCTAAAGACCATAAATATTCTGGGGAAAAAATGAATCATCTACATTCTGGGGATCCATAGATGACTACCAAACTTCATTTTAATGAATAGTTTCAGTTAGCTTCCAGGTGCTTTCACCAACAATTCCTGATAATATGCTTATTGGGAAGCAGTGAATTTGTTTACAGTGATGAGAAATGGCATTGATTAAGGGTAATGGTTGTACAGTCAATTAGAGTAACTGACATCACTAAGCTGTTGAATTGGCAAATGTTGTGTGATACATGTTTTTACAACAAACAAAAAAAATAGACTAGCTGTTGATGCTGTTTATGTACCTCACGGGATTTGTTTCCTTAGTTTGTAGGTTTAGGGTTATGGTTTCATGGGACACCCCAATGAATTAGCCTAATACTGTTTTTAGGGTTTCTGTTCTACCTTCTAGTTCATTGTGTAGTGCATGGGGTCTTAAAAGCTTGAGTCACCATCCAAAGTACGATTGATCTCTATTCACCTGGAGCAGCTGAGGAAGGAGAGTGAAGAATCAGAGGAGGAAACGGAATGTATGTTCCATGAACAACTGTCTCCCTTGCCTTGAGACTAGACGAAACAGATAGTGCCTGGCTACCATTACTGCATTTTGATCAAAGATACTACAGAAGGATCTTGACCAAAGGGGTGGGGAGGAATGCAGAACAGAATTCAAAATTTTCATAGAATCCATTTCAGAAGCCATTGAGGCTGGATGGACCCTCAAAACTACTGCCCTTAAACTAAAACTACAACCTGAAGTCTTCTTTAAATCAAATGATAGTTTGATTGTGCTCTTTTAAAGAATTATCTACATGGGATCAAACTGACACCAGCAACTCAAAAGGTTAAATGAGAAGCTTAGGGTGCAGTGAGTTTATGTTAATGGTGGTGGAATAATTTGGAAAAGGATGGCGAGAATGGTTGCACAATTTAAAGAATGTAATTGATGTCAAGGAATTGAACATGTAGAAATTGTTGAATCGGTATCAGTTTTACTGGGTGTACCATTTTTTTAACTTTCTTTTGTGCTTTAGGTTAAAGTTTACAACTCAAGTTAATTTCTCATACAAAAATTTATACATATATTGTTATGTGACCCTAGTTGCAATCCCTGTAATGTAACAGCACACTCCCCCTTTCCACCCCGCGTTTCCCGTGTCCATTCAACCAGCTCCTATCCCTTTCACCTTTTTTTAAAATTCAGAAAGCAGAAAAAAGAAATAGAAATCAGACCATTAAAAATTAATTGTTCAAAGGACACTTGGCCATGTCTAATTCTGCCATTATAAGACCTCATCCTAATCACAGTTGGATGCAAAGTTGGCTCACATCAGAATCAATCTCCACGTGAGATAAATCATTCTTATAAGTCAGATAGGAGAAATATTTGGTGCACTGGTATCTAGTTCAATGCCAGCCAACAGCTGGAAGCATCATGATAAAGAATGTTAGCTCAAAGTAGAGGAATTACCAACCAACACTGCATGGGTACCAGCCCACCAGCATGGTCACTACAGCAGTAGCCTGGTGATCCTCTGCTGGATCCTGGGGAGTTTGAGCATCCTGTAGGAGAGGCCAGGGGAGCAAAGCAGGGGTACTTGGTGGGCTTTGGGAAGTACATCTACATCAAAGAATTTCAGTATACAATAACCAGTATGACCCTATGGGCCCTGCTTCCAAATACTTAAAAAGAGAACACAAAAAGATTTCTCCATCATCAGGTAGTGGGTAGGCTTCTTGTAGTTAATCAACTCACTCATCACAGAACCACTGTTTTGCCTTGTGCACCTCACAAAAGCTTATCAGAGTTTTTAAAACTTTGTATGTTTGTATGGTACAGGTTTTCTGTTAGCACTGGTTTGCTCTTTGCTATGACAGACCTCCCTGATGTCAGAGATCATAGAATCCATCATAAAAGAGCAAGAGCTCCCACCTGTCACTTACCAACACAAGTACGAGAATCATTGCTGTTGATGATATAACCTTCGGGACAATAACACACCCCTCCAGATGGCGACTTGTAGCAGTTGTACTGACAGCTCAAGATGGGACACATAGACACACCTAAACAGACAAAAACACTTTGTTAAATGAATGGTAACTTCTTGACAACTATGAAATAAAAGCTTTTTTTCATAAGTAAAAGTTAAGTAACCATGTAGCAGAAGTAAGGAAGATTTATCAACATTCAAGGCTTACTACAATATGATGCAATAAAAGCTCAACTGATTTTTCTTTTTAAAAACTTTTTCAAGAGGTTATGACTACGTATAAGTGATTTGAAGTGCTGTTTATGGAAAAATCAGGTCATAAATCTATCTTTGTGTCTATACCGTAGAAACGGCCAAGGACTTCCAAGTGACTAGATTGAGAATATATACTAAAATGTCAGCCATGGCTAGCTTCAAGTGGTGGAATTTTAGGTGACTTTTTGTTGTTGTTGTTGTTAATTTTTATTTTCTAACTTTTGTACTATGACTATATATCTGTTGTATAATTCTTAGAGCTTTTTAAGAAGGACTCTAAAACCAAATGGCAAAAAAAAAAAACTGCCAGGGGACCTCATACCATCAAGAAAGCAGTGCCGGGAGCAGAGCACGTCGTTTGGACTGGGGTTCCTGCACAGAGAAGCTCCTAGCCCAGGGGAACACTGAAGAGAAGAAGGCCAACAGAGAGAAAAAGCCTTCCCATGGAGTTGATGCCCTGAATTTGGACTTTTAGCCTACTTTGACCGTGAGGAAATAAACTTCTCTTCCTTAAAACCAAAAAAAAAAAAAAGAAATTGCCATAGAAATCTCTGCATATTTAAATAAAGTTTTGTCACAAAAAAAAAAAAACAAACACTAAAGTAGGGTTTCACTTATATGGCCATTTCTGGGCAACCACTAGATAATTTAGTTAGAGAGTATACCACTGTAAAATCAGAGTCATAAATTCTTTTACAAGGCAGTCAGCTGTCCAGAACGTTGATGGAAGAAGCATATTTCTATAGTCACACACACACATCCAAAATATGTATATATACCTAACTCCAGTCAGTTTCCTCACAAATGAGTGTAGTAACACAATACATCATCTAACAACACTGGCATAGCAAACTCATTTAAATTTCACCAGAAGCATTCTATTTTAGTATAGCAGACAAGACCTTTTTCCATAAATACAAGCCAGGAAACAAAAATCTCTAGAACACCTCTAGAGCCAGCAAAATTTGAGAGAAGAGAAAAAAAAAGCCACAATTTTTTTTGAATCTCCTCCCGTCAAGAGATGGAGTCTATTTTTCTCCAGTCCATTAAATCTGGGCTTGCCAAAGTCACTTACTTTGGCCAGTAAGACATTAGCAAACACAACATAAGGGAAGGCTTGAAAAGAGCTTATACACTGCGGCTTGCCCCTGAACCACCATGTAAATAAGCCTGGGTTAGCTTGCTGGATGATAAGACACATGTCTGTCGCCCAGCTAACATCAAGCCAACATCCTCACATGTCAGTGAGCTAGCCAGCCCATAGAACTGTGAGAAATAATAAATGTTTGTTTGTTTAACCCACTTTGTTTGGGGGGATCTTGTTACACAAATGCTGATATACTCTATATTGGGGAATCTATTACAGAAAAACAGAAACATCTTTATCTGAAAGCTACCCAGTTAAATTTCCATACTCACCACAATTTCTTCCTGCAGTAATATTGGTTTCATCTTCTCCTGCTGGGCAATCTGGAGTCCCATCACAAAGTTTTTCAATTGGGATGCATTGTCCAGACTCTGGACAAGCCCATTCTCTTGGGTAACATTTACGATGATACTGATCACTGCTTTCTGAGGAAGAAAGGAGTTATAGGCCATATGAGAGGTGGAGCCACCTTTTTTTTTTTTTTAAGCGATGGGTAAGAGAGGATATAGACCAGAAGAACAACAGAAATCTACACATGACCTATGTTTTATAATAATAATAAACTAATAGTTTCTTAATTACACCATTAGCCTTTCACTGAAATTCTAAGGAGTGGAAATATAGAATTATTTGTTTCACTCTTTCTAGGGGAGGCAACTCCCTACCAGGTTATGAGGGTGAGAATGGTAGCGGAGTCATCTTCTTCCCCACCCACTGAGTCCCTAAAACACTCCTTTAACACCACTCTATCCTGAGGCTGGCTTTTTCACACAGAAAATTTCTAACAAGGAAAGGAGGATAAACAAGTTCTGAAAACATGTACCGCATCCATCTTCATCTCCATTATCATCACAGTCATTTTCTCCATCACAAACCCAGCTTTCATGAATGCAATTGCCATTTGGACAAGTGAACTGGTTGCTTTTGCAGCTTACGTTGGCTGGAAAAAAACAACATCTTCACTCCAAAGACATAAATCACTTGGAAAATTCAAATTGCTCACCTCACTGTCTAAATCAGCCTATACACTGAAAATTCTACAAAATTTAATCCCTCAAGTATCTGGACCAAATTAAAAAAAAAAAAAAAATTATAAAGGAGAAAGAGGAGGAGGAGAAGGAGAAGGGGATAACAGCAGCTTTGAGTCCAGGGAATTAATTCAGGTTCCAGTCTCCTTTTACCAAGATTAAAAACAAGATGGTGTACTGTGGGTTGACAAAGAACAGAGAATGAAGATGCTACAGACATGCCAGTGTCCAACATTCTCTTGCTTGACCACAAGCACTGTAACTGCTATCTAGGACCAAATAATTTTGAGTCACCAATTCCATGATCTCATATTCACAGAAATAAGCCCAGGTGCCAGAAAGGAAATCAGCCATGGCTCATTGAAAACTGGGGTAATAGTCAAAATATTTAACAACCCCCTAAGGCACAGGCACCAACCAATCAAAATATGTGTGGGGGGGAAAAAAATCATTCATTTCTAGTAAATAAATGACCACAAAGAGCTGTCAGCTTATTGGAATTGGTAAAACTCTCTCATGGAGTCCTCTATCTTTACACATTCCAATAAAATGGGTCCAGAAGTGGAAACAATAAGAGAGAGGTAGTTCACAATGCAGGCCATAGCATTGTGAGTAAAAAAGAGTAAAGAGAGGAGGCAACAAAAGTTGCCTACACTACATAATGCCCTCTTAAGACTTTCCTCACACTCTAAGTTTAATGTGGTAAGAATTTCTAAGTAAAGAGGAGAGGTAGAACCATCGCTATTAGGAATTTTCCTCTCTCTTCTTTCAAGCCCTTCTCTCACTCTACTGTTGAGATTACCAGACTCACTCCTGAGGCCGGGGTAATGTGAGAATCTAAGGAAAGAATGCAAACTGTCCATCATCAACCCTTCAACTCTACACAGATCCTTGGAAGATAAAATTGCTCAGGTCCAGCAACACTGCTAAGGCTCTTGCCATAGCCCCTAAGTGATCTTCTGGCTTCATCAACCCTTTTTGTTAAGAAGAGTGGTAGAGTTTATTGAAAAATAAAAACAACTCCTAACAACATGAGCCAGGATAAGGAAATCACCGTACCGCAAGAATGTTCATCGCTGTTGTCTCCACAGTCATTGCTACGGTCACAGACAAATGATTGAGGAACACACTCTCCATTGTTGCATTGAAAATAGGAGTGATCACATACGTGAGCTAGGACACAAAGTTAAGAAGGGAACAAAAGAGGGAAAATTTCAATTCCATCATCCCAGCCAAAACGGAAAGGGTTGGCTGGAAATTTAATCTCATAGGAAGATTCTACCTCAAGTTTAACAAGAGATTTTTATTATTCAGGGGTGTGCTGATAAATGTTTAACAATCAGTTCTTCAGGCTCTTGTTTGTAGCGTTTGTCGATTACCAAGGTGTAAATACTCTCAACATGACTGAATTTACCAAACACCGGAGATGGGAAAAGATGTGCATAATTTGGCTTCTCAGCCAGTATGAGCCAGCTCCAGCACACCACTGCACATCTAATACACGTTACTTACTGCAGTTGACTTCATCGGAGTTGTCCCTGCAATCAATTTTCCCATCACACTTCTCACTAGTATTATAGCAGGCTCCATTGGCACAAGTCAACTGCTCACATGTTGGGTAATCTATAAAAAAAAAAGAATGGAAACAGCAGACAAACCTTAAATTAAGCCATTTCTTCAACAAACATTTCTTCAAAGACTACTATATGCCTGCACTAAATGTTGAGTATATGTTGATAAACAAAACAGACACGGCTCCTGCTCTTATGGAGATTAGAGTTGGATAGCAGAAAGAGACAATCACAGTGACACAAATAGCAAATTACAAACTGGATTAAGTGTTAAAGTGAAAAGTATGGGTGGTGGATTTAGAGGCTCAGGGCAGTCTCCCTGATGAACATTCTTGCGGTACGGTGATTTCCTTATCCTGGCTCATGTTGTTAGGAGTTGTTTTTATTTTTCAATAAACTCTACCACTCTTCTTAACAAAAAGGGTTGATGAAGCCAGAAGATCACTTAGGGGCTATGGCAAGAGCCTTAGCAGTGTTGCTGGACCTGAGCAATTTTATCTTCCAAGGATCTGTGTAGAGTTGAAGCGTTGATTATTTAAACTTGGAACCACCTTTTACATAATACAGCTAACTAATGAAACTAATTTAACACCACATATGCTTTGGGAAATGAAGAGCCATTTATTTCACTGGAGAATCATAGAAAGAAGGCAGACCTACAGGTCAGGAGAACTGGGACTTGAGTCCAGTGCTGCCACTCAGTAGCTATTTACTCTTACTTGTCATCATTTCCTTAACCACATATTTGGATAATTTGCTTCACAGGGTTAAAAAAGAAAAAAACAACTGCTGTAGAGTCAACCTCAACTCACGGCAACCCCATGAGTGTCAGAATAGATAGAACTGTACTCCACAGGGTTTTCAGTGGCTAATTTTTTGGAAGTAGATCACCAGGACTTTCTTCCAAGGAGCTTCTGGGTAGACTTGAACCTCCAACCTTTCAGGTAGCAGCCAAATGCACTAACCAACTGCACCAACCAGATACTCCTTTTAAAAAAAGTACTGGTACAAATATTCTATGATGTATGATGATCTGCTCAATTGTATAATTCAAATTCTCTCCAAAGCCTCCATTCACATGATTGCAAGTCATTGTAAAGAATAAATATTTTGAAATGCATGGCAATGTTCAAGCTGCAAGCCAACCAGTAATTATCCCAGGTAGCTGATGCAGTTAAGGAGTTTTTAAAAATATTTTAAAATCCCGCCCTACATGATTTGCCCTCCTTACAAATGTGGTATCTTCCCAGTTTTGTTTTTTTAGTGTTTCTCAGATTGTCTTCAAGTTTCTTTTTAACCAAGCACAGCACCACACTGAGGCTGAATTTTTCATTTAAGAACACAGTTTGAGGGTTTCACAGACATATACAGATACTTCAGATTATTTCTTGCAGTCTCGAAGTCTCCTTTCAAGCAAGACAGTACACAAAATTCTGTTCTAAAGCTGTATTGAACTTACTCCATGTTAACAAGTTGCATCCTTAAAAAAGATTGTTTTCTATTTTTATATAATGAAGGAATAAAACCAGATCTGCAGAAGTTCAAAACTACTCAGGTGACTATAAATATCTAAATTGTCAAAGTTACAGAACAATCCATCATATATTAAAATGGAAGAATATAAACAGCTGATTAAATTTTAAAATTTAACTTAGCGACAATCTTTTCTTTACTGAATTTTATTTTATTTTTAAATAGTCCAAGACAGAGCTAGTGCTTAGGGTTATTGCTATCTTTTTATCATGGAGACGGTATGCACTGCAAATCCCCCTTCAAAAATGGGTCACATAACTTTGTTTATTAATTCTTCCTTCAAGTGATTCAAGAGGCCAGCTGAGTCAAGCAAAGTGCTTCCCCTCCCGCTGTGTGCAGGATCACTCCTGGAGTCAGTAGTTATCTAGCCTTAAGAGCAGCAGCAAGCAACAAGCAAGAGAGAAATCTTAGAAAACTTCTTTGCGATAGTTAAGTTACCTGTCATGAGGAAAATTTACTTAGGCTTGGACTGTGGCTATCTCATTTAAGGTGACTATTATAGATATGAAGGAGCCCCGGTGGCACCATGGTTAAACACTCAGCTGCTAACCTAAAAGTCGTCAGTTTGAACCCACCCGCTCTGAGGGAGAAAAGACCAGGCAATCTGCAAGCCTAGGAATCCCTATGTGGGCAGTTCTACTCTGTCCTATAGGGTCACTATGAGTCAGAATTGACTCAATGGCACACAATAACAACATTGTAGATATGAGGGATCTGGAACAGATGTGCTTCAGGGGGTCTCATGTCTCCCTGTCCTGCTTTTTGAGAGCCAGTGCCATAAAAATGAATGGGTGTTACATATGCATTTACCACAACTAAAAAAAAAAAAAGTCAGGACTGAGACCCGAAGAAAGATAGCTGGTAAACCTGGGTTCTCAAGGAGGGGGGAAAAAGTTGTGGTGCTGGTCAACCAAGTTCTCCAATGACCTTAGTGTGCCAACCATTGTAATCGATTAAGAATTTGGGCTAAAATTTTTTTAAAAATGTTTAAAAACCTATGAAAGCCAGCAGCTGTGTAAGGTAGAAACTCAAATATTTTCCACTAAAATGTTTAAGACCACACCCTGTCAAAAGCAGAAAACTTGCAAGACCTGGAAAAACAAGGCAGTCCTGTTGAGTTCCAGCTCTCACAGATTTCACTGTAGTTTGTATTAGTTAGCTTGCTGTATAATAAAATACTCTATATAACTCGGTGACGTTGTACACACACACACAAAAAAAAAACTAAAACAGCACCACTGACATAGTTTACAAACACAGTTCATTCCCCCAAAAAACAATAAAGCCAGCTTGGTGTCCTCAGGCAGAGTATTGTGGTGGTCAGAGTCAGCCTTCAACAGTCTGAACAAGGAATGAACAGCTTTCTTGTCTCTACCCACACTAATAATGAATCTCTCTCAATCAGGACTCCTCTTCAATCCCTCCACACCTTCTAGTCTCTTCTGTGCATGCCTACCCTGGTATACAAGCATAGGAAAGATCATGCAAAGCTCCCTGGCTCAACTAAATACTAGAAATACATGGAAAATTCATTTCCAAAAGGTTTTCCTTCTTTGCAGACCCACACAGAGGGAAGAGGTCCAAATTGTTCACACTGAGCAAAGTAAGATAGGATGTTAACGAGTTTCAGTGTACCCCAGGAAACAGGAAGGCACAATCCTGTGAGCTTTCCATTGGGGGACATAAAAAATCTTAATTTTTTTGGCTTATTTGTGTAGCAAAACTGAGTCTAACCTTGTAGTTTCTTTTCCCCCATGGAGTAAATCTATCATGTGGCTGCAATGCCCTGCAGGATTTAAAGTACAGAGAAAGTGTAAAAAGAGGGAAGTTCATATACAATACCAGGAAAATTCCTTTTAAATTTTGTCTTAATGGTAAAGTTGACTATTAACTAAGCCCCAAATCTCTGAAGTTTCTCTCTCACAGAAACCTATTGTGAGAACACCCTTTCTCACACCACTCCTTGATTTCTCCCAATTCCAAATGATGCTTGGTCAGGTTTGTTGCCCCCAAAATACACACACATACTTATGTAGGTATACATACACCAAGATTAATGCTTTGAGATTTTTCTTTTTTCTCTGCTAATGATTTGATTTGGAGCAAGAAATTTCCTTGGCTATAGTTTGAGGACCTTGGAGGCGTCCCAGAATGAAAATCATTTATAGCACAGTAAGATACAAATATAGGGCACTATTCTTCATTATCTTGACAGGAAGCCTGTGAATACCTTGACAAAATGGACAAAAAGAACATAGAAAATTCAAACTGATTATAAAGAAAGAGAAGGTAGGTTATGAAACTTAAGCCCCGGTTTAAAAGAAAACAAGAAGTTACTGACACAAGTGCTGTCCAGACACTTGGGACTTCTCAAAGTCCTAGCGTCATCCTTATAAGTTACTGTACATTAGTCTGGCTAATCCAGACAAAGTAATGATTTGCCAGGAAAGGTTTACTAATTTGGCCACCTGCACTGAGTTGCAAGTATTACTCGCAAAGTTAAATAAGCAATAACTTGTCTAAGTACTCAAAATGTATGAACTCATTTTATCCTGATAACAACCTTGGGAAGTGGATACTATTATTATTCTCATTTTACAGATTAGGAGCCTGAGGCACTGAGAAGTTAAGTAATTTGAAAGTAATTTACAGATGGTAAATAGGAGAGCAAGAACACAATTTCACCCCATATTTCTAATCCTAAAATAGATATATCTACTACTTATAGGCTTCCAAGTAAGTAAAAGGAAGAAGGGAAAAATTACAGAAGAAAAAATGGAACGGAATGAAATGGGAATAGAAAATTTTAAAAAGAGAGCATGGAAAGAAAAAAAAGAGAAAATACAAGGGAAAAAGAGTTCTCCTGTCTTCTAGTTTCTCATCCCACTTTGGGAAGTTTGGAGAAGTGAAGCCCATTCTAGGTTTCAGGAACTTAGGCATTTCCTACAAAGGACTTCAATCTGGTAAAATATAGGAATCCCAAGAAACCCTATGCTAGGAAACATAGGTTTCTAGAGTGTGAACTAGAACAATCAGGAAAGGATTAGCAGAATTGGACTAATATCAAGTTTGGTTTGAGCAGCATTCAGGAAGTCAAAGTAAACAAGGGAAACACATCAAGTTTTCCTTCCCTGCTCTCTTTGTCACTAGCTGGGTCTCAAGCCTCAAATCCCTATCTGGTCTCTATCCTTGGTAAACTAATCTTAGACCAAATTGTGCCTGAGAGGTCTACTCCAAGGACTCCGAATCTATAGCACCTCTTTCTTCCCATACACAAAACTATCACCAAAATCTGCAAAGGAGATAACAACAATAAGAAATGTAAAATCTCACATAGCTCCTAATATAGAAGTAACCTAGCACCAAGATGGAAAAGATGAACAAATGTTTACATTGTGCAATAGATTTGGTGGCACTGGTTCTACATAAAGGAGCCCAGATGCACAGTGATTAAAGTACTCAGCTGCTAACCGAAAGGTTGGTGGTTCGAACCCACCAGCTGTTCCAAGGGAGAAAGAT